ATTTCTTCCACCCTGTATGACTCTCCATAGTGGCAGGGAGTTACGTATCTGCAGGGGTTAGTCAGTCTGATGCTGACCGTGTACCTTACACAGGGCTGATGTGGTAAAACTTCCCGGTGAATTTGTTAACGTGAGCCGGATATTGTTGTTGGATTTCAACTCGGAGTTATTCCACGGAGATCGCGGCCTCGCTCGTCCCAGTTTTGCTGTTCGGTGGCCTGATCGCGTCGGTGTGGTTCATCCACCGGAGGAGGGACACAGGTCTGTAACGTCCCACGGGGATGGGTTGTTCCCCGGGACATGGCACTGCCGTCCCCGCCCCAATGTCACCTTTTCAGCTGAACAGGGTGAGGGTGGGGGACCCGGGGAAGGAGGTGATGGGTCAGGAACTGGGGGAGGCCGTGTTCCTGACAGTAGGGAGGAAGAGCACTCACAAAGTTAGCCTCCTGGATCGGGTAAATGTGATCACTATCCCCACTCCGTGTCACCTCAGAGAAGAGGAGAGACATAAGATCATGTGAACCAGGAGCAGGAGGAGGCCATTCAGCCCCCTCGAGTCCCTTCCGCTAATCCTAATCCTAACCCTAACCCTGACCTTAAACTCAAACCTAACCTTAAACTCAAACCTAACCTTAAACTCAAACCTAATCTTAAACTCAAACCTAATCTTAAACTCAAACCTAACCTTAAACTCAAACCTAACCTTAAACTCAAACCTAGTCCTAAACCCAACCCTTTTACTAACTCTAATCTTGGCTCTCAGCCAAATGCTGACTAAAACCCGAACACTAACCCTAAATTTAAACCTAATCCTAAACTGAACACTAAGCCTCACCCCAACCGTAAACTTAACCCGACACTTACCCTCAACCAATCCTTAACCTTAATGCTAAACCTAACCCTCAACCAATCCTTAACCCTCCATGCTAACCTGAACCCTAAACCAATCCTTAGCCCGAATCCTAACCCTAAACTTTATCACTGACCCTAACCCTAGCCCTAAGTCTAACCTTGGCCCTCACTCACACATTAACCCTAACCCTCACCCTATCCCTTTCACAGCTGGTTAATGTGCATTAAGATGAGTTTGACAAATCTCATCTATTGTGTTTGTTCTCTGTTTATGACTGAGTAAAGGTCTTGGCAGCTCCTGTCTGTAAGAGTGCAATATGCTGAGAATGTTCTCTCTCTCCCTGCAAGCAATTCCTCAACTGTGTCATAGCCCAAGAGGTAAGGGGATGAAACTGCAGCTTTTATATTTTACATTGTTATCCCGATTCCTCTTAGGGAAAGAGTACGAAGAGGGAAGCAGAGGACTGTGAAACTTTGCAGAGGAACATAGATACATTGAGTGAGTGGGCAAAGGTCTGGCAGATGGAATACAATGTAAATAAATGTGAAGTCATACATTTTGGTAGGAGTAATAGTAAAAAGGATTATTACTTGAATGGTAAAAAGTTGCAGCATGCTGCTATGCAGAGGGACCTGGGTGTCCTTGTGCATGAATCACAGAAGGTAGGTCTGCAGGTACAACAAGTAATTAGGAAGGCAAATGGAATTTTGTCCTTCATTGCTAAAGGGTTTGAAATAAAAAGCAGAGAGGTTATGTTGCAGCTGTACAAGGTGCTGGTGAGGCCACACCTGGAGTACTGTGTGCAGTTTTGGTCTCCTTACTTGAGAAAGGATGTACTGGCACTGGAGGGGGTGCAAAGGAGGTTCACTAGGTTGATTCTGGAGTTGAGGGGGTTGGTTTATGAGGAGAGACTGAGTAGATTGGGATTATATTCGTTGGAAGTCAGAAGATTGAGGGGGGATCTTATAGAAACATATAAAATTATGAAGGGAATAGAAAAGAGAGAAGCAGAGAGGATGTTTCCACTGGCAGGTGAAGCTAGGACAAGAGGGCATAGCCTCAAGATTAGAGGGAGCAGATTTAGGACTGAACTGAGAAGGAATTTCTTCACCCAGAGGGTTGTTGATCTGTGGAATTCCTTGCCCAGTGAAGTCGTTGACGCTACTTCAGTAAACGCTTTTAAAAAAAGGGTAGTTTTTTTTTGAACAATAAAGGAATTAACGGATATGGTGAGAACGCGGGTAAGTGGATCTGAGTCCACGAAAGGATCAGCCATGATCTTATTGAATGGCGGAGCAGGCTCGAAGGGCCAGACGGCCTACTCTTGCTCCTAGTTCTTATGTTCTTATGTTCTTATTACCGTATCCTTTTAACATGAGCCTAACAAACCAGGAAACCTTACGCCTAGAAGGTCCCAGGTGGCTTTTATTCATTCACAGGGATGTGGGTGTCACTGGTAGGGCCAGCATTTATTGCCCATCCCTAATTGCCCCAGAGGGCAGTTATAGTTAACCAGCTTCTGGAATCACATGTAGGCCAGACCAGGTAAGGACGGCAGATTCCCTTCCTCAAATGACATTAGTGAAAATCAGATGGGGAATTGGGCAGCTCCTTGAGGGTGAGAAAGCTCCATGTTCGGATGGAAACCAGGGACATGGGACCAAGGAATAACAGGGTCTCACTGGGCTTTGTATTTTCCATGATAGCTTTGCTGTTTTGTTGAAGCGGAGCGTGGTGTTGAAAGCATTGTGTTTGACATGACAACTTCCTTCCCCTTTCTACTGGAAATAGATCCCAAGCTTCTGGTGAAGGGGCAGCAGCCGGCAATCTGGAGTATGCAGTAATCAGAGCAGCACACAATGCTGGTGAGTGCCATGAATCGGTGTGATTAAAAGAGCCCCACACAGTGACGGTGCACCATAACCTGGGAGGAATTCTGGACAAATGTCTGAGCTGTCAGATGGGCTAGAATGGGGTGGTTTTCCTTGGAGCTGTGGAGGCTGAGGGGTCAGGACAGAAGCTAGGAAACAGGAGTAGGCCATTCAACCCTTCTATCCTCTTCTGCCAATCATTATGATCATGGCTGACCACTTAACTCAGTCCCTGGTTCCGATAGAAACGAAGAGGCCATTCAGCCTGTCCATTGCCCCACCCATTCGATAGGATCACGGCTGACCATCCAACTCAATCCCCGGTTCTCTGCTTTCTCCCCCAGACACTTCAATCCCTTTCACCCTCAAAGATGCCAACTCCTCCTCGCTTGAGATATATAAAATGATAAGGGGCAGACATATGGTATACAGGAAGAAACCTTTCCCCCTTCTTGGAGGGATCAATGACTGGGGTGTTGGAGGGAATAGTTTGAAGGTCAGGGGCAGGAGGTTTAGAAGGGAATGTGAGGGAAAATGTTTTCACCCAGATGGTGATGGGGAATTTGGAACTCACTGCCTGTCAGGGTGGGAGAGGCAGAAACCCTCATCACATTGAAGAAAGATTTAGATGTGCACTTGCGCTGCCAAGGCTATGGAGCCAAGTGCTGGGGAAATGTGATTAGAGAATAGGGAGGTGGTTGCTTTTGACTGGCACAGACCTGATGGACTGAAGGGCCATCTTCTGTGCTGTCGACCTTTATCTTCAACCAGTGTCTTTCCAGCCAGCTCCTGCTTTTAATATCCTGTGATTAGACCTCCATCAGAGTGTTTTACCTAACACACCAATGCTTATTTTATTTCAGTCACATTGGAAACTGAGGGCGCAGTACTCTGATGTTGAGAAATCGAACTGATGTTGGTTACAATGAGCGATTTTGTACAAAGGTCCAGTTCCTCAGACACACATTTGCCCTGAGCAAATGACAATGAAGAGAAGCGCGTTTCCTGTTCAGCAGTCTTTTGAGTAGTCGTAGTAATGATCCCAAATGATATTTATCTGTATGCATGTTTATCTATCTGTGCATCTTTCAATCCAGATACGACCAAAGGACCATAAGATATAGGAGCAGAATTAGGCCATTCGGCCCATCAAGTTAACTCTGCCACTCGATCATGGCTGATATGTTTCTTGATCTCATTCTCCTGCCTTCTCCCCGTAACCCTTGATCCCCCTGACTAATCAATAACCTATCTATCTCTGTTTTAAAGTGTCTGTCTATCTATCTATCTATTTATTTATCTATCTGTCTGTCCGTCTGTCTATCAAATCTATCTCTGAATTCTGTCTATCTATCTCTCAAATTTATTATCCATCTATGAATTGATAATCTGTCTCTCTATCTGATCCATGTGTCATTTAGCCCATTATAGTGAAGCTGTCTGATTGATGTGTGTTTCCGTATGCACTTTACTTCCTTGTAGAAAACATGGCTGCAGATCTGGTTTATTCAGTGGTCACCATCAAGAAGAGAGCAGATGCTGGTAAAGATCTCATTTCTTCAATGCTACAATTGAGGGGAGAGGGGGGAATTATTTCAGTTCCGACAGTAGCATGATTCCAGCTGGTATGGAAATGCCTGTGTGTGTGGCCAGTTCTGAACAGAGAAATACCACAATGCTTGCAGTGACAGGAGTGTGAGGGAACAGAGGGTCTGCCAAAAGAAATCTCCAACATATATGAGGGAATGGACAGTAAACCAGCCAAACAGAAACAAGACCCAGATCCCCTGCTCTGTCCCTTTGTTCTTCTGAAGATAGGGTAAAGGATTTGGAGATGATTCATATGTCGTCAGTGACCCAGAGCAAACACACAGAGCAATCAGAAAGAGAATGGCCTCATGGTATTATCACTGGACTGTTAATCCAGAGACCCAGGTAATGTTCTGGTTTTGAATCCTGCCACAGAATTTGAATTCAATAAATATCTGGAATTAAGAGTCCAATGACCATGAAACCATTGTCGATTGTTGTGAAAATCCCAACTGGTTCACTGATGTCCTTTAGGGAAGGAACACAGAATGTGGAACGTGGAACGTGGAACGTGGAACAGCACAGCACAGGCCCTTCGGCTCACGACGTTGTGCCGAACTTTTACCCTAAACCTAAGGTCTATCTAACCTCCACCGCTACCTTATACTATCATCCATATGCCTATCTAATAGCCGCTTAAATGCCCCTAATGAGGCCGACTCCACTACCCTCTCCGGCAATGCATTCCACGCCCTGAAACTGCCA